AGAAAGTTGGATTAAGATTATTTTTCATTATTTCAGTCTTTCCAAGTAATGACCAATTCTGATCTAAACAATTATTTCGAAATTGTTTTCCGAAAACCCAAATTTATGGGTCTGATTTAGAAAAAGTATCCTTGTCTAAAAGCTTTCTACAAGCTAAGTGAAGAGTAATTTTACATCCTGCCTACATTTGAGGATTAAGTTTTAAATAAATATAAACTTAAATGATTAATTTTAGTTATGAAGCATCCATATTAAATATAGCCTTATAATTACTATTATTTAATATATATTATTTTGATGTTATGTATATTAGATAAACTGATATTGAATTATTGACAATTATTTGTATTTTATCATAAAATGGGTTCAGCATGTTAAAAACCACCTGAAGATCAATCTTAATATTAAGAAACTGAGGAAATTTAATAGGACGACTTTATAATAGAATAAGAGTAATATCCTTTAAAAATTCATAAAGGAGGAAGAAAAGCATTGCATAAAAGTAAAAGACTTTAATAGCAAATTGAAAATGATGATATATCATAAGAACCTGTAGTATAATCAGATGATCAAATCAATTAAATGTAAATCTATAAGACTTACCATTAAAAATCAACATATTCAAGCACAGAGAAAAATAGTATTCCTTAAGAAAACCAAAAACAATTAATTAGCATAATGAAATAAAAATGTTCTTAAAAATTCATTTAGTCCTCATTATAAGTCTTATCAACAGCTAACAGTAAACTATAATAATCAAGCATAAAAATTAGAAATCAATAAGAAAAACAAGTTCGATTTATATTACCTAAATCACATAAATAGAAATAAAGAAATCATTCAAATTTTAGAAATAGATTAAATACTTAAGTAAATAATTATCTATGATATTAACTGCTGATGAAAAATTGAATATTATTTTTAAATTTCATGATTTGTAATTCAGCATTAATTAATTAAATTTAAATGTATTCTTTTACAATAAATAATTTATAAGAAATGATATTTTTATATTAAATTATTATCACTAACCCTTATATTATTGCCAAATATAATTTTACCTAGATTCTTGAAATTATGAAAATAATGACCTCATTTTATATTATTATTCAATATATTTGATTAATGTTCCAGTGAAATAAATTGAATTGAATTATTTATTATATCATATATTTGAATTCACATGGTACTCAACTTTCTACTTTACTATTATGTAATCTAAAAGTATTAATTAATAGAGTAAAATGAAATTTAAATAATAAATCTTAATACTAATTAAAGATTGCAAACAAAAATGATTAAAATATATGATGATACTAATTATAGCCAATAAAAATAGATATTTTCTACAATAATATTACAAAGGATCATCAATTAACATTTAGAATCATTATAATCAGTTAAATTAAATGTTAATTCATTTAATAAAATTGAATTTTCATAAGAGAAATATTATTTAATGATAGATTATATTAAAATCGAATTAATTTTAGATATTCAATTTCTAGATTTAATGTATGAAGAAATATTTAATGGTTTGGTATAGTACAAACTTAATCTTTATGCTTATTAGCCAACTTCTGAAGTAATAGGAATATTCTCAGGATTATCTTGTTAAGAAATAAGATCAGGATTATCTTGATTAACAATAGGATCAGAATCATTTTAAATCTCTTATTTTTCCTATTTCAGCTATATTTCCTATTATTTTTATTCTTATGGTTATTGTTAATTATATATTGGTTTTGATTATAATAATTTTTAAGAGTTTGTTATATTGTTCTATTATTAATTTTATTAGATTGAATTTTAAGTAAGCATTTAAATTTATATCTATGAAGTTTCATTATTTGATACTCTACCATTTTATTATATTGCACTTTCTTCAGTGTCTTTTTAGATATTTCTATCTGGTGATATAAGAAAACCTAATTTTTATTCTAATACTTTAGTATCGATAAATCTTTAATTCACCTAGTTTGATGTTTCTTTCTCATATTCATCTATAATTTTTTCTAATTATTTTTTTTTCTTATCTTCTAAAACATCATATTTCAACTATAATTTCATTTAAATTATTACAGTAATATATTTATCTACTTTTTATATCTCATCATATAAAGCATCTAAGAGTTTTATTTAAGGATCTTCTTTAATTTTGAATCTTGATAGTAAGATAAAATAACATTCTTTAATATAAATCCAATTTTACTTGTTTTTTTATCATATTTTGCTTTATATTACCCAAAATTGCCTCTATAATCAAATAGTTCTGGAGGTTCCTTCGGTTTAGCTTTAGGATCATTGGGATCCAATTATTTGGCTCTAAGTTACTCTTCTAATTTAACTCTCTCTTGACTCCAAGTTTTATCAATTGGAAAACCTCTTCTAATAAACATAAAAAAGAATTGTCTATTGTAATCCCACATCATGAAACATCTAAATAATTTAATCAGAGTATCAGAACTCAAATCTTTATCAGAGTTAAGTCCTAAACTTTTATTGTAAATAGCAGATGTATTTGGTATTTAAGATGTAATTCTTTGATGTTAGGTTCCAATCATTGATGATCCCATTTATTATTATGATTATATATTACTCTATATTTTATATATTCATAAATACTTGTTATTGAATCTAGCCATTAATTTTAGATTCATGAGGTTCTTAAAAAGCCTTTACTTTTCCATATTTCCGAATATAATCATTTTCTTTTGTTTCAAGTAGATTCTTTATTATTTCAGTTTCTTTTTATTCTAATTCTTCCTTTTTAATCTAATATTGCAAATAAATTTTACTTTTGAATAATTAGGTTCTTTTTCTATGTTTTAATAAATTTCATCCAAAACTTAATTTTAATAAGCTTCTTAAACTTCATTACTGCTCAATAAAATGAAATAGCATTCTTTATTTATTCAAAATAAATTACTGTTCTTTTTGTCATATTTACATCTAAACATTCCATATTCTGAAGATTATTGAAAAGTGTCTTTAGGTTCTTTAACAATTTCTTGAAGCTTATTTTCTAATTCTTTTCTACAATCATTCCATTTAGAAGAAACTTAAAAGCCTCTTCTTATGAATAGAAAGAAAAAGCTTCTTTAGTAATCATAAATCATAAAAGCTCTGAAAGCAGACATTTTTGACTTTAAAATAAATTAAATAATTATTATTTTTTGCCCCAATTAATAATATAAAAATTATTTAATTTCGTTATTTTAGAGAAAACTTTTACAGAAAAATATACTAAAAATGTTTAACTTAAAGAAAAATTTGATTGATATATTAAGAAGAGATAAAATTAAATTTAGTTCTCTGAATTTGATTATAATTGTATATAGATTGATATAGAAATATGATAATTAGAAGAGTATATTTTAAAGTTAGAATTATTATTTAATATTGATAAATATATAATATATCTAATTAGGAATTAATAAAAATATATTGCAATAAATTTTGAAGAGCAATAAATAAAATTTAATTATGAGATAGCTATAATAAATTCCAAAAGTAACCAAAAAGGTTATTATTATAAATCAAAAGTAAGTGCTATGTAGTGATTACTTATAGATCAAATATGATTAGTGAAAATAATAATCTTTAGAATATTCAAAATGTTTAAGTAAATAATACTGAAAGAAAGAATGTATATAATGAAGAACAATTTCCAAAATAATTTGAGGGTATTTGATTAAGTTAATATAGATAACATGCAGTTTGAAAGTCAATAATCCATTTAGGAAATGATGATTTTGTATTAAAAAAATTGTACCTAATTATAAGAATTCTAATCATAAATACATGAATTAAAATAGAGAGTTTAATTGATTGAGTAAAAATTTTAAGAAATAGAAGCAACTAATAAGAAAAAGAAGAAAAGAAGAACTGCAGCTGAAATTGATAAGAATTTTAAAGTGTGTATTGAATTTATTAATTTTTTAGTGCCCTTATAAAAATTGTGAGAAGCTTTATGGATCAGATGTTTCATTAAATTTACACATTAAATTCAAACATAATGGTGGTAATAAAAGTGAACGTCAGAAAATAATTGTAAAATTAACTATTGTTATAATAGAAATAATTATAGGCTGGAGAAATATCTGAAAAAGATATTTAAAATATCAATTTACCACCTGTATGAAAAAATACAATTTCAATCCAATAATAAATTTGATTTCAAATTAATTTATGTGTTTACAAAAAATATATATTCCGCCATTTTTTTGGAATTTAAACCAGGCATTTTTAACGAAATTTTAAATTTGAATGCCACATTATTTTTATTATTATTGTTTATAAGTACTTTAATATGTCTAAATTATATGATACAAATAGAAAATTCAATAATACAAAATAAAGATGGGTATAATTATTATAATATAATTTTCTACAGGAAACATTAACAGCAAATATTGGAAATAAAGAAAATATCTAAGTTAATAATAAAATTGCAGCTACAAAAACCATCAAAAAGTGTTCAACTACTATTACCATTGAGAAAAAGAAGCCATTACCTTAAAGAACAATAACAAAATATTTCAAAATGACAAATCTAAAAAAATATCCAAATCTATAATTATATGACTCTAAGGGTAATGCTAGAGAGTTCTTATGTTATGATGACAAAGTACTCAATATACCTCCAGCCTATAATTAAATTATTTCACATGTATAACCTATAATCATTATTATAGTCTATGGATAATGATTGTCAATCTGATAATGAATAAGTTGAATCTGCAGTCAGATAACTTACATACTTTCTCGAATCTACTTTAAATTAATACAAATAACAACACTCTTAATGAAGTCTAACATTGTATACTTAGGTTTTAGATAATAATGATAATATTATATTTCATTATTCTATTTTTCAATATACTAATACAGACTATGTACAATGCACTTCTAATTTTGAATATAATATCAATTATGATTTAATAAAACTCTCAAAGTATGAAATTGATTTTCAATATTATATTTTATATTATTTAATAATGAATCCTTATAAAGAAAATGCTAAATTATCTTTGGATTAACTGATAGAAAAGAGAGTAAGTCTATAATATTATTAAGTAAGTGTGGAACAGGTAGATATTAAATTTTGGCCTTATCTATTTTGGTTTTTATTGATTTGAATGATGGATGTGAGTTGATATTAATGAGTTTTCTTATGCCTATATTAAAAACTGAGTGGCAATTAACAAGCATGCAAATCTAAATCTTAACAAGCATTTTTTATTTGGGTAGAGTCTTCAATTTCAAAATAGACAAGGAATGGTATTAGGTTCTATATTGACTGGATTTGTTGCAGATAGAAAAGGAAGATTGAGATGTATTTACTTATCATGCATCATATAATTTTTTATGGCAAACAGCTTTTTGCTTTGTACAAATTTTTATCATATGATTTTTGCAAGATTAGGATATGGTTTTGTTTATGGTATTTAGTACAATTAATTGACAAGGATTTTCAATTCCTTTAACAACAACTATGATATCTGAAATTACTGCACCTGATGTAAGAGGAAGATTTTTAATTGTTATAAATTTCTTTGTATCAGTTGGCAAAATTTATGCATTTTTATTGGCATTTTTATGTTTAGAGAATTTCAATTAAGGACATTGGAGATTAATGATGAGTCTAAGTTCAACAACATCTTTAATAGTTGGTATATTGGCATGGATTTTTTTAATGGAGAGTCCTAGATATTTAATGGCTAGTGGTTAAGTAGTAGAGGGTTTAAATATTATTGAAGAAATTATTCATAAAAATTAAAATAATAAAGGACTAATAAGCAGACTATTTAAAAGTGTATAACCAGAAGTATCTTCAGATCCATTTAAAGGATCTAAGTAAAATTATCAATTATTAATATTAGATATGGATATATATCAGCAAAAGAAAGAATAGCTATTGAAAAATGGGTAACTAAAGTATTCCGTTGTGAAAATAGAGGAACACTTAGAGAATTGTTTAATAAAAATAATAAAAGTACAACCATAAGATTGTGGATAATATGGTTTTGTATTAATTTTGTAATTTTTGATATAATTATATTAGATGTATTTTGGATAATTACTGATTTTACCATTTATTTTAGGATCTAAATAAAAAACATTTGTAGACTATTTAACAACTGTTTTAGGTGAAATACCATCAATAATTTTATCATTGTTAATAGTAGAAATACCTTTTTTAGGAAGAAGAAATACAATGGCAATCTCATTTTTTTGTGCATCAATAATGCATGTTTGGTCTTATTATGCTTCTTGGCCTTATTTTTTTGCTCGATTCTTTATGAAAGAAAGTTGGGCTATGCTTTATCCATATTCTACTGAAATATTTCACACATCAAATAGAACTTTAGGATTTGGTAGTAGTGCTGCTGTTGGAAGAATAGGGGCTGCTATCTCTCCTTATATTCTTATACCTTTATTTGATTAAGATACACATTTACCATTTCTAGCTTTTGCTGTTAGTTCTGTTATTTCTTTGATATCTGCAATCACATTACCATATGATACAGTTGGTAAATCATTAGATTTTTAGAAGTAAATAAAATTTTAATATCTCTAGTTCTGATGGAGAAGTTGAGAGTAATAAAGAAGATGAGATTAAAGAAATTATGATGGTTTTAATTGAAAAAAAAAATTAGAACTGAAATAAAATTTATATTTATTTATTATTAAATGGATCCTAATGCTTAAATCAATGAGAGATACACAAAATTATAAGAAAAATTGGGAGCTCTTCAATTCGAAGTTGATAACACAAAAGATGCAAAAATTGATGAAATTTATGACAGAATCAATAAAGCTTAGAGTGAATTGAAGGATATTATCAATAATTACAGTGAATAACTTGTACTTAATTATGTTAAAAATAGGGATAATTGTCAGGTTAATTTTAAGATTTAACAAAATAATTTGAAAAACAAAATGAATAATATAGTTCTTCGCATGATAAAAAGTTAAAAGAAATAAAAAATTTAGAGAATAAACTCTAAAAAAAGTTAGATGATGATGTTAAAGCTAATAGAGAATAAAGTGAATAAATATTGTCTAATTATGATTAATAAGTAAAAATTAAATTGAATAATCTTAAAGGTTTAAGACTTACTATAATAGATTGGATAAGAAATTAAAGTTAGAAACTAATAAGTAAATATTATTAATACAACTTTGCAAAATGATTTACCTGCATTATGGTAATATAATGTTTAAGAAAATTAAGAAAGAGTTTAAGAAGATTAATCAATAGTGAAAAAAGCAAGTTAAGAAATTTCTAAATTATTTGATTAAGCAAATCAAGGTAAATCATAAAGGTAATAATAATAATTTATATTATATAAACAGAGAAGATGCTGAAGTTGGTATATTTACTATGCTCAAAGAAGTTGTTATAAGAGTCAAAAGTGAATTAGAAGAAGAAAGATAATTAAGAATGGATGGACATGAAGCATTATTATCAATATTAGAAGAAGCCTATGAAAAAATGGAAGAAACACATGCCAAAGTTTAAAAATAGAAGGCTGCTTTATTAGAATCAAAATGATATATAATAATCAGTTTAGTTTATCATTTTTCATAGAAATTGTTTTCATAATTTAAGTTAATGATAATTTAAATATATAATAGCATTATTATCAACCTCTTCTAACATAAACATTACGATCTAATCTTTTATTAGTTTGTTTTGGTTAATCTTATTTTTAATAACTTTCTAATGTCTTTAAAAAAGCATCATCATTAATTTTAATAGTCTCTTAATTATTTTAGTGATCTTTATCAGCAACAGTCAATCTTGTTTGACTTCCATGAAAAGCTCTATTACCTTTTTTATCATTTGTTTTATATAATTTTAATCTAAATGAATCTTCTCCACTCTTTTACTTTAACAATTCATAATTATATTATAAATTTTAGAAATCTAACCAAAGTTCTTCATAACTTTCTTTTAATTTTTATTCTTATTCTACAAAATTTCGAGCTTAACTTTCAATGATAGTTTAAAGTTCAAATTCTTTATTTGACAATAATATATTTGCTTTTCTCTATTCATCAGCATGTTATTGAAAATGTTATTCAATAGATGAAACTTATACTCTCAAATCTTAAACTAATTCTTGTAATTATTAGTTTTCCTATAATATATATGATATTTTTGAATCCTTTTAATTTAATTTCTATTGAAGATTAGTAGTTAAATCAATATATTTTGTAGCCTCCTCTAATTAGATTTATAATGCTTAGATTTCTCTAAAAATAAATATATAATATATACAATTTATAATTTCTCTCTAATATATTCTTACTGTCTTCTACTTATTATAATTCCTTTCTTGTTTGATCATGTAATTATTCTGTATCCTAAAGTTTATCAATTATACTTAATAATTCTATAAATAAATTATAAAGGTATTACAATTAATTTTAGCATTTGCTATTTCTACTTCACATTTTAATTTTTAATTTTCATCTTAAATTTAGGAAAATCTATCTTTTTAATTGAGAATATGTTCTTATAATTGTTCAATAACTTCTTTTGATGTTTTAACTTAATCCTCATAATTAGATGATATGTTATTTAATTAGGAAGTGTTTTACTTCTTTAAATGTTCAACTTATTTAATTAATTTAACTTCCTTTTCACTTTAATAATTTTCAAAGTAATTTTACAATTGCTCATTCTATTTAATATTTGAATTTATATTTACTTTTTCTAAAGCTTACTTCAATTTAAATGTCAAATCAGCTTCTCTTTTTTAAAGATCAAGAATCTTTTTATTAATTAATGCTTCTGTTTCATACATATTTCTATCTTTTGAAATTGAATTTTTTCTAAGTTGATTAACTCTTTCCTCTGTGTCTCTTATTTACTATTTAAGTTGTTCTATTTCATGATCTTTTTTATCATTTATATCAAGTAATGTCTTTATTTTATTGTTACTTTCTAAGAAGGTTTCTTCTAATTAATTTTGCAATCTATGATAATTAATACTAAAGTTTACAATTCATAATTTATATGAAGTTATTCAATCTTTTTTTGTTATTCATTGTCTTTTAATAAAAATGAGATTATATCTTATTTTAATCCATCTTAATCTCTTGCAACAGCTAATTAAAATGCATTCAATCTTTCTTAAAATTCTGTTTCCATATTTTTAATTTAAGCATCTTTTTATTTAATAACTTTTTTTAAAGTTTCTAGATTGTCAATTACTTCTATTGGGTCTAATTATTACAACTAGTTGGTATTATTTGCTTATTTCATAATAATAATAAAATTTATTTTTATTTAATAAGTTAAAATATAAAATAGCTTTTAAATTATAAATTTTTGTAAATTAATCATCTCTTCTTTATTCACATTTAGAATATTATAATAATTGATTAATAATATGAGGATAAAATAGTTAAAAAATGTTATTTTTATTAAGTAATTCTTTAAATTGATTATAAGTATTCTTAATGACGTTTATATATTAACATAAAAGTATTAAGACTTTTACAAATAATATTAGTTCATCACTTGTTTTTATTGTCTAATGTTTAGTATATTTAATTGAATTGGTTTTAAGAAAGAATTTCAAAAAAAAATAAATGAAACAGTTCATATATAAACTTATTCTAAATAATCAATAATCAGATTATTCAAGCCTTCCATAATAAGAAATACAATTCTTTGTGTTGATAAAAAATGTATTTTTTTGTTTAATGAATTACGTGACTTCCAAAGTTTCTACCTACAATGCAATTCCATCCAAATTAATCAAATTTATCAAATTCATATTTAATATGATGAGCAATCTATTTCTCAGTTCTAAATTATTGCATAGCTGATTATGTAATATCTGTAACTTTTTTAATAAAATCTTCATCCATATCTGTGGCCTTTATTTAAAGCTTTATTTGTTCCATGCTTATTATTTTAATATATTAAATAAATAAATATTTTGAATAAATTAAATAAAAAGTGTTTTCAAATTTTTGATAATATTTTAGATTTCAAAATTTATAAGTTACTAAAATCTATAGAATATTTCAATTAACTTCAATTATTGTTATTTATATTTCTTATTTTCAATTTAGTAATTATTAAAAATGGGTCTTTTTATTTTTGAATATAAATAACGATAATTTGAATAATCATTAATATAAAAGAACTCAAATATTAATTACAATCTCTTAATAATAATAATAATATTAATTATTATTTTTAATGAGAATAATTGAAAAATCTGAAATACGTTTTTTAAATTTGAAATATAGTTTACTTTCATTGAAATTTAACTAATTTCATTGTTAGATAGATAATTCATTTATTTTTTTTACATTCATTCATTGTCAAATTTTTTAAGTTTATGAATATTTAAAATATTATCATATTCGTAATAATTACTTTTTATATTTGATAAACTAAAATTTGATTCTTTTTCAATTACTTAATAACAGTATAAGATAAAGATCATTATAAACTGATAGTATTTTAATATGATAGAGAATTAAATTTAGAAAATTTAGTTATTATTTAAATTGATTGTATTCTGTTTAAACAGTTTTTATTAGATTTGTTATAGGGTATTTGTAAAAGTAATAATTATATGAAGAAGTAAAAAAGCTATAGAGTTTAAGGGATTTATTATAGATTGAATTTCATATTAATGATATAATTAATTAATTTTGAAGATGCTTTGTGAATTTATAAGGACTTTTTAGAACTCTTATAACAAATTCGTATCAGAATAATATTAATAATGGAAAAAGTAGGAATTCTAAATGGAGATGGACTTAATTCAAATTCCAACTCTTTTCATATCGTTTATAATAATCTTAATAAAATTGATCATTAGTAAAAGTGATTAGGAACTTTATATTCAACTAAGTATTAACTGCTTATCACATATAATTTTGGTGATTCTGATTAAAAAGAACCATTCTTGTAAGGCAATCATGACTTAAATAATTAGAATTTGTTAAATAATTCTCATTAATTGGTATTGTCTATATTTTTATATGTCGAACCCATCATTTTTATTAATTTACACCACAATTAATGTAATTTAGTTTAACATGGCTTACACAATATCTGTAAAATTGTTAACTTTAGGAATGTGTATAGGAGGGTATCTAGTATCAGTTGAAGATAAATCTTATGAATTTTTAGGTTTATTTATTCTTATAATGATTATTCATATGATAAGAAGAGAAGGAAATTTAATGTCATTTTATTCAAAACTTTAAGCATTATTTTTAATTATAGATACTATTCCATCAGCTATGTGTATTGTTTAGAAAAATAAAAGTTAGTTACTTTATTCAAATAAAAGTTTTGAAAATCTATCATTAACTCTAGAAGGATCAAATAATTCTGATACAGATTAATCACCTGATAGATTCATAAATTATCAAAAATTATAATTGCATTTTTTATCTAATCTTTAATTAACTGAATTAAATTAATAAGGAATATCTATAATAGATTTTGATGATGAATTATAAATAGATTAATATAAAATAAGAAAAGTGAATTATAAAAAAGAAGCTTTAAGTCCAGAAGGTGGATCTAGATAATTAATATTTAATTTGAGTGATAATCCTCCTATCAATAAAAAGATATAATATAAATAAGAATTCTTTTCATCATTTAAAATGAAAGATG